ACGTAACAAGGAGAGCACAATACCCCACACATCTTATTGTAACAAGGACAGCACAATATCCAACACATCTTATCGTAACAAGGAGAGCACAATACCCTACACATCTTATCGTAACAAGGACAGCACAATACTCCACACATCTTATCGTAAAAAGGACAGCACAATACCCCACACATCTTATCCTAATAAGGACAGCACAATACTCCACACATCTTATCGTAAAAAGGACAGCACAATATCCCACACATCTTATCCTAACAAGGATAGCACAATACCCCACACATCTTATCGTAACAAGGACAGCACAATACCCCACACATCTTATCGTAACAAGGGCAGCACAATACCCCAAACATCTTATTACTTATCGTAAAAAGGACAGCACAATACCCCACACATCTTATCCTAACAAGAACAGCACAATACCCCACACATCTTAGCGTAACAAGGACAGCACAATACCCCAAACATCTTATTACTTATCGTAAAAAGGACAGCACAATATCCCACATATCTTATCGTAACAAGGACAGCACAATGATCCTGACATATTATCCTAACAAGGAGATCACAATACCCCACTCATCTTATCGTAACAAGGACAGCACAATGCGCCTGACATATTATCCTAACAAGGAGATCACAATACCCCACTCATCTTATCGTAACAAGGACAGCACAATGCTCCTGACATATGATCCTAACAAGGAGAGCACAATACCCCACACATCTTATTGTAACAAGGACAGCACAATATCCAACACATCTTATCGTAACAAGGACAGCACAATGCTCCTGACATCTTATCCTAACAAGGACAGCACAATACTCCACACATCTTATCGTAAAAAGGACAGCACAATATCCCACATATCTTATCGTAACAAGGACAGCACAATGCCCCTGACATATTATCCTAACAAGGAGATCACAATACCCCACTCATCTTATCGTAACAAGGACAGCACAATGCCCCTCACATATTATCCTAACAAGGAGAGCACAATCCCCCACACATCTTATCCTAACAAGGCCAGCACAATACCCGACACATCTTATCGTAAAAAGGACAGCACAATATCCCACATATCTTATCGTAACAAGGACAGCACATATCCCACACATCTTATCCTAACAAGGGTAGCACAATACCCCACACATCTTATCGTAACAAGGACAGCACAATGCTCCTGACATATTATCCTAACAAGGAGAGCACAATACCCCACACATCTTATCGTAACAAGGACAGCACAATATCCCACATATCTGAACAAGGACAGCACAATATCCCACATATCTGAACAAGGACAGCACAATGCGCCTGACATATTATCCTAACAAGGAGCGCACAATACCCCACACAGCTTATCGTAAAAAGGACAGCGCAATATCCCACATATCTTATACCCCACACATCTTATCGTAACAAGGACAGCACAATACCCCACATATCTTATCGTAAAAAGGACAGCACAATATCCCACATATCTTATCGTAACAAGGACAGCACAATACCCCACACATCTTATCGTAACAAGGAGAGCACAATGCCCCACACATCTTATTGTAACAAGGACAGCACAATATCCAAAACATCTTATCGTAACAAGGAGAGCACAATGCCCCACACATCTTATTGTAACAAGGACAGCACAATATCCAAAACATCTTATCGTAACAAGGAGAGCACAATGCCCCACACATCTTATTGTAACAAGGACAGCACAATATCCAAAACATCTTATCGTAACAAGGAGAGCACAATACCCGACACATCTTATCGTAAAAAGGACAGCACAATACCCCACATATCTTATCGTAAAAAGGTCAGCACAATATCCCACATATCTTATCGTAACAAGGACAGCACAATACCACACACATCTTATCGTAACAAGGACAGCACCATCTTATCGTAACAAGGAGAGCACAATACCCCTCACATCTTATTGTAACAAGGACAGCACAATATCCAAAACATCTTATCGTAACAAGGAGAGCACAATACCCGACACATCTTATCGTAAAAAGGACAGCACAATACCCCACATATCTTATCCTAACAAGGACAGCACAATACCCGACACATCTTATCGTAAAAAGGACAGCACAATACCCCACATATCTTATCGTAACAAGGACAGCACAATACCACACACATCTTATCGTAACAAGGACAGCACAATCCCCCTGACATATTATCCTAACAAGGAGAGCACAATACCCCACACATCTTATCGTAAGAAGGACAGCACAATACCCCACATATCTTATCGTAAAAAGGTCAGCACAATATCCCACATATCTTATCGTAACAAGGACAGCACAATACCCTACACATCTTATCGTAACAAGGACAGCACAATGCCCCGCACATCTTATCGTAACAAGGACAGCACAACACCCCACACATCTTATCGTAACAAGGACAACACAATACCCCACACATCTTATCGTAACAGGGACAGCACAATACCCCACACATCTTATCCCCCACACATCTTATCGTAACAAGGACAGCATAATACCCCACACATCTTATCGTAACAAGGACTGCACAATACCCCACACATCTTATCGTAACAAAGACAGCACAATACCCCACACAACTTATCGTAACAAGGACAGCACAATACCCAACACATCTTATCGTAACAAGGACAGCACAATGCCCCGCACATCTTATCGTAACAAGGACAGCACAACACCCCACACATCTTATCGTAACAAGGCCAGCACAATCCCCCACACATCTTATCGTAACAAAGACAGCACAATACCCCACACAACTTATCGTAACAAGGACAGCACAATACCCTCTTATCGTAACAAGGACAGCACAATACCCTCTTATCGTAACAAGGACAGCACAATACCCAACACATCTTATCGTAACAACGACAGCACAATACCCCAAACATCTTATTATAACAAGGACAGCCCAATACCCCACACATCTTATTGTAACAAGCACAGCACAATACCCCACACATCTAATCGTAACAAGGACAGCACAATACCCCACATATCTTATCCTAACAAGGACAGCACAATACTCCACACATCTTATCGTAACAAGGACAGCATAATACCCCACACATCTTATCGTAACAAGGACACCACAATACCCCACACATCTTATCGTAACAGGAAAAGCAGAATGCACATCTTATCGTAACAAGGACAGCACAATCCCCCACATATCTTATCGTAAAAAGGACAGCGCAATATCCCACATATCTTATCGTAACAAGGACAGCACAATCCCCCACACATCTTATCGTAACAAGAACAGCACAATCCCCCACACAGCTTATCGTAACAAAGCCAGCACAATACGCCACACATCTTATCCTAACAAGGACAGCACACTACCCCACACATCTTATCGTAACAAGGACAACACAATACCCCACACATCTTATCGTAACAGGAAAAGCAGAATGCACATCTTATCGTAACAAGGACAGCACAACACCCCACACATCTTATCGTAACAAGGCCAGCACAATCCCCCACACATCTTATCGTAACAAAGACAGCACAATACCCCACACAACTTATCGTAACAAGGACAGCACAATGCCCCGCACATCTTATCGTAACAAGGACAGCACAATTCCCCAAACATCTTATTATAACAAGGACAGCACAATATCCAACACATCTTATCGTAACAAGGAGAGCACAATACCCCTCACATCTTATTGTAACAAGGACAGCACAATCCCCCACACATCTTATCGTAACAAAGACAGCACAATACCCCACACAACTTATCGTAACAAGGACAGCACAATACCCCAAACATCTTATTATAACAAGGACAGCCCAATACCCCACACATCTTATTGTAACAAGTACAGCACAATACCCCACACATCTTATCGTAAGAAGGACAGCACAATACCCCACATATCTTATCGTAAAAAGGACAGCGCAATATCCCACATATCTTATCGTAACAAGGACAGCACAATATCCCACATATCTTAACAAGGACAGCACAATACCCCACACATCTAATTGTAACAAGTACAGCACAATACCCCACACATCTAATCGTAACAAGGACAGCACAATACCCCACACCTCTTATCGTAACAAGGACAGCACAATACCCCACACCTCTTATCGTAACAAGGACAGCACAATACCTCACACATCTTATCCTAACAAGGACAGCACAATACTCCACACATCTTATCCTAAAAAGAACAGCACAATACCCCACACATCTTATCGTCACAAGGACAGCACAATACCCCACACATCTACATATCTTATCGTAAAAAGGACAGCACAATAACCCACATATCTTATCGTAACAAGGACAGCACAATTCCCCAAACATCTTATTATAACAAGGACAGCCCAATACCCCACACATCTTATTGTAACAAGGACAGCACAATCCCCCACACATCTTATTGTAACAAGGACAGCACAATCATCCACTCATCTTATCGTAACAAGGACAGCACAATACTCCACACATCTTATCCTAGCAAGGACAGCACAATACCCCACACAACTTATCGTAACAAGGACAGCACAATACCCAACACATCTTATCCTAACAAGGACAGCACAATCCTCCACACATCTTATCCTAACAAGAACAGCACAATACCCCACACATCTTATCGTAACAGGAAAAGCAGAATGCAACAGCAAGCAAGATTTGAACCTGGGACCTCATAGCTCTATGAGGATGCTGTAACCGATTGAGCTACTCGGTCAACTACGATCCACCCAGTCCAGTTCTGCTACATTCCTTCATCCTTCAAACTGGAGGCCATACAAGACACTATCTCAACTTCCCTGGGTATACTTACATGTAGTTCGGCAACAAATGTAATAGAAAAGAAAGCATGCGATGGCCAGACCAGGACCTCTGAGCTCTAAATAAATGCTCTAACCACTCAACCTTCCTGGTCGACCCAGTTCAGTTCCGCTTCAAATTCTTTGTGAAAGAAGACAACTGATACCAAAAAATGATTTAATGAAATTTATTTACAAAAATATCTAGACTAGATGATAACAGCACATGAATATGAAATATGTATATATGACAAACAACGATACACGAAGATATTTTCAATCACACTCACATAGATTATACACACTTCTCTTATTGTATATCACAGTTGTTTAAAAACTATACATCTGTATGGGAAAACTCAAACCCTAAATTGATTGAAAGTTATTGCAAAATAGAAAGTTGTAATATTGGATTTAAATACACAATGTATAAAAATTGTAAATATCGATTCAATATCTATTTCCGTTACAAATTGTAATTCACTAATGTCGTTAAAACAGAAAATTATATCAAAAAGGAGTCGAAGGAAAGAAATCATAAAAAAAATCCCTGAAAGTACAGTCCAAATCTCTCCGATTTATCAATTTTTATTTTAAGGTCATGGTTAAGCTGCATTTATGACACATTTATCAGATATTGCAATATAATTCCTGAAAACAGGCCGTGAATTTTCATAACGGGGCAGAACTCAAATACTTCATCCCAAAGTATGTTATTAATTCACACAGACACCCTCTTGAATTGAATTATCAGCTCAATGTTACAGGTTGCACATAACACTGAGCCAGAGTTTGAAAAGTCTAAAATAAATTAGTCTGCAGCATGATACGGATAAATTCTGATTGGTCGACTTTGCCGTCACCATTGAGATCCGCCTCCTCAATCATCTCCTCCAGCTCCTTCTGTGTAAACTTGATACCAGCATCTTCACAGGCCAGCTTCAATCCATCCAGTGATATTGCTCCTGTCTTCTCTGGAAAACAGAAATCAATTAACATCAAGAAATGCTTGACATTTTGTACCATATTTTAGGTGAGATGATTACATATTATCTGTTCATGTGCTATATAAAAAGAATACTGGAAAGTTTTAGCCCAGACAAACTTTCGCCCTGCCATATTCACCTAGTGTTGATTTCGCTCTTAACAGCTAATTACTACGCAAATTGAAAAATTCGCCCTCATTAAGGGCGGGCAAAATGTATATAGAGTAGACATGTATTATACTGAGTCTGTATTCTACTGTTCTAACAGATCTAGAACTTCCTCTTGTTCTATATTGGGCTTAATCCGGCAACAAAACTTGACTTATTCATTTTTATCCTTCAAATATATATAAATAAGTGACTTATGGCAAGAAAAACAATAAGAAAAACATAAAGAAAATAATAATAAGCAATTTCCATTGTTATACAAGTAAGATTTTATGAAAAGGTTTATAGGATTTTTGTTTTTTTAATTTTAAAAGCGCTATTATTTATTGATTATCGAATAGTTTAAACATTTTGTCGCAGATAATATTGTTCAACAACAATACATGCTACTGCATAATATTATACTTTGCATCAATGACAACACAACAGTAAAGTGCATCTTCAGTATATAAAATCTGTTTCTAATTATAGAATCAAATAAAATGTAAAAAAGTCATATACAATTTTGGCTATTAGATTCTTAATTCCAATTTAGGCTTCAGGTGATTTTCTGCCATTCCAGAATACTTGGACCTTATTCCAGGTTGATAGTAAATTTTATGGAAGGTATTTTGAGTTAAATGTTCAGACAAGTGTCTTCTATAGGTGTTAGATTTTTTTTATTTTCCTCCTAGAACCTTCATATTCTTGGTTAACTTTCTCATTTTTCTAGGTAACTTTTTAACCCACAGCTGCTTTTGAAGGACAATATTATTAATAATTACTAGACTGTAGATTTCTTGTATATAGTTGAGTGTTGGGGATAAGGTTAGCCATATTACACATTTGAATGGTGGTTTATAAGAGTTGTCATACTTTAGGTTTACTAAGAATGTCTGATGATTCACTGTACCTGAGTATTAGGCAAAACGCAAAATAGCCCTACTTGCTGTAATGTTTTTGTACCTAACGGTACCCTTAACATTTTTGAAGAAGCACTGCCATAGTCAAGATCACACTCCTACATAAATCAAATGAAATTACTTTCAAAAATAAAAATGTGTTACCTATATATAGCTACGTATATATATATACCTACCATAAATTTGTTCAAACATGTTATAGAACACCTATTTATGTTTGGCCAATTACTGATGCATTAAATCCATTCACATATGAAGTATCATATTATTCATTCCAAGTGCAAGAAATTATTTTTGTGTAAATGTGCAACAATCATCTAAACAACATACCGTAATCAAACATGTTAAATCCTTTGAGTATTTCATCATACATGTCTCTGGCGTCCCCCTGTCTGTCTATCACCGCCTCCAGAAACTCAGGGAAATCTATCATACTAAAACACAAACATGAAAGATGATAAGCTAAGTCTGTTATGTTCTGAATGCCTCCTCTAGAATATTACATATACAGTAAAAAATGTTTTTTATTACATATACAGAAAAAAATGTTTTTATTACATATACAGAAAAAAATGTATTATCATAATTATTGTTTTTCGTAGGATTGCAACTTCAGCTCATCAAGGCCATTTCATATTAGAGTTATAGACCTTCATGATGGTAAATGTAAAGTGTAAATACTGGGGTATCACTTTTTCAGACATATATCACCTTAAATGAACCATCATAAAGTCCATTACTTATTCATTAAATGTACTTCAACAATAAACATTTAAAAAGGTTAATATTGATTTGTGGCTTGGGTGCCAGGTTAAGTTCTTGTCCTATTTGTAATGCAGGTTCTCAATGGTACATGATTTGGACAACATTGATTTTATCAGACAATCACACATCTAAATATAAAACATTACATAGCATCACATTAGATCATGAGTATATATATAAAATCATAGGTCCTCTACATCAGCGTTCCTTGTCTGCGATGCTCTCAGCTTAATTGCTGCCTTCGGCTGTCTTTAGCCGAGGGGACTATTGGTTTTATATAAAAGCTATATTTTCAATTATAGCATATCAATTCTATCTTCTTGTAATATGATGTATATGTACATGTAACTGTTCTGTTTCACTGTGTCTTGAAAAAGGAGTGGATCGCTCCGAAAATTTGACAACCTAAACTTGTCCACACTGTTGGAATTACTTCTTTGCCCCATATATAAAATAAGTGTGTATATAAAATATATAATGTGGTATATATATTCACTGAATAACAAAGTATTCATATGATGAAAAATAATTATTAAACCACATGCATGTACATACATTAAAAATGAACTACATGTATGTACAAATGTACACATGTTTATCAATTTAAAAAAAGGCTTTTAAGAAAAAATACATAGATATGTGCTTGGTCACTCAAGTATCAAAATATTGTTTAAATAACTCTTTACTCACTGTTTGCCCTTGAGACTTGTGTCAGATATCAGCTGTTTAGCCTCCTCCCTAGAACACTTAAATCCTAAGGCCCTCATTGCACGGCGGAGTTCGGCTGACCCATGGTACCTGTCAAAAGTTAAATCAAAACAATTAAGTTTTTCAAATCTCCTAGCTGATATCTATGTGACTGATAAAAACTAGCAAAGATAATTCAGACGCTCCTAAAATATCCTTTAAAATGCAGGATATTGAACTGTATAAATTTCCTAATAGTGATTTAGTGGGGATACTCGCTAATTATCTAACCTTATTCCAATATATTGCTGTATAAACAAATATGTACAAATGTATAAATGTAAATAAGACAATGGTATCGACTTTTTTAAATATTATAAATATGCGCAAATTATAAAGGATGAAACAACACTAGCTGTGGCTATCTAATGACCGGAAACACAGTGTGAACAGTGCGAACAGATAAGTTAAATGGAGTGTCAATGTTTTATAGATCTCCTGGAACCATTCCCTGTATTACTTCCCAGTACGCTGATACATACATAATATAGTATGTACCTCCGCTATTTATACAGCTCGGTGGTCTGTGAAGAACATCAGCAATGTAATCTGCCTTAATTGTTAAGGGATACAATAATACCTACACAAAGTACTGTATATCTGAGATGACAGCATTGCACTTATTTATCAACTATGATGTCATGTAATCTCAGCAGACATGAATAGTATCTCAAAATGGAGTTGAGGTAATTATAATCAACAATCAAATCCCACCACATGCTAAAAAGTTGTTTAAGTAAGCATACAACTTAAACTAAGATGTGTCATGTGAACATTATATACACAATTAATTGCTGTATACCCCAAACCGAATCATCCTGGAGTTTCCAGGGGGTACATACATTTGTATATATAAGCTGACTTTTAATCTCTGCACCCCTTGAATATATCCAGATGAAAAGCTTGATTGTATTTATGCCACCTTGTAGATGATACATGTATACAAGATTAATCCTATAATTGATGTACATTAAAAGAGAATCATATGAAATTGTAACGGTAAAATTGACTGGCTTTTACATCGCTCCATCTTCAAAGGACATGTATCAGCCTATGTATTGGTAAGTTATTTTTATTTGAAAACAATCAAATAAATAACTGTGTGTTGTATTCAAAGGGTGCAGATTTCATAATTACGTTAGCATATATCCAAGGAATTTGAGGATGACACTAAAACTGAGCATGGCTTACCCATCACTGTTGTTATCAAACAGTTCAAACACCATCAATAGATCTCTGATTTCTTGAGGAGTCAGCTGCTTTAGAATTCTGTTGGTCATTTTGTATCCATGAATCTCCTTTTCATCCACTGGATTCTTCTTCAAGAGTTCCACTAGCTGTGTGTAATTGATAAATGTGTATCATCAAAGGAAACAAAGCAATTAAGAGACGTCATAAACTCAACACATATTTCATATTGCTTAAACCTGTGTGTGCAGTAGACTCTATGTTACTGTGTTTTAACTTCAATATGTTTGTTTGTCATTGGAAATTGAAGACACGTTATACTATAGTATGAACAATAACAATGACAACAAACAATGACAACAGTCACAATTAGCATCTCTTTATACTCGATTACCAAACACCTTCGACATTACACCAGAGGTGGTATGCAGATTGTCAAAAAAAGGAGAATCAACTTCTACCATTCTTATTTTCGAAGGGAAATTATGAGCTCATTTATTACACTGACACAAGCCGATTATTTCTATACTAACATGTATATGTCCTCTCACGGACCACCTTCAAGGTAGCGATATATCAATTAACAAACAGATGGAAGTTAATTGTACTGTAACGTTACCCTCTCGCCTGGTCGAGGTGGGGGTTGCACAAACATTGGAGCCATTGGGTCTGCTTTCGCAGGCTTAGATCCCTCTTTCGCAGAAGATTTGCCCTTCTTCTTCCCCCCTTTCTTCGATTTTCCCGATTTTCCTTTCTTCTTCGGCATGTTTCTTCTATAATCGCTAAATCTAATGAGACGTACAGGATATGTATCGGGCACCTGTTAAGTGTCCGCCATTTTGACGCTTTAGTTGTTGCTGTGTGACGTCATCGAAAGACCTACGCTTAAAGGGGCGTAACTGCGTAAGGAGTTTGTGCTTATTACTTTACATTAAAAAATATAAAAGGATTGGTTTTATTTTGTTTAATGTCCTATTAACAACTATGGTCATTTAAGCACGTAACATGTAGAAAAACGAAATATGAATGATTGCTAACAAAGAGGAGAGGATTCTATTTCGTTTTCCAGTGATCTCAATTGTTGTATATAAAATTTAATTATTAGCATAAACTATAAATGATTGGTATAAAATATTATTTTATACTGCTATAATGATCCACTCACTCAGTTTTAATAAAAAAAAATGTTATAATATACTCATCAATATGTTTTTTTTCTGGTATCATCTTTAGATAACTCCACAGCTCCAGATATAATGAATTTCAAATGTTTTAATCTATCCTCATTATAATTAAGTGTTTGGATCAAGTTCAGCAATTTAGCTTTCACCAAACCAATGCAAGAAATATTTCAACTTCACTGAGCAAGATATTGAACAAATATATTTGCTTTTTGTTAGCCACTGCATCAGTGTTTACATTTAATTGATTAAAAAAAACAATGTCATTGACTCAATATAAGAGTCAAAACTTAACAATACATCATCACAACTATTTCAACATATTCATTGACAACATAGAATAATTTGTAACTTTTATTCACTTGAAGAAATTCTAAAACCTTAAAAACAATTTACCTTGACCTACAGTATTCCAAATAATTAAACACTGATGCAGTGAGTTGCTAACAAAAAGCAAACATATTTGTTCAATATCCCGCTCAGTGAAGTTGATTTATTTCTTGCATTGGTTTGATGAAACAGAAATACAAATGAATATAATCAGTAAAGGAAATAAAGAAAATCCATTAAGGTAAAGAGACCCAGCACTTTTTTTTTCATGATTAAAAAAAAACGTTTATGCAACAGTGATTTAATCCCTAGACATCTAAATCATAAAGTAGTATCTGGATTATCCATTGCTCAACTGGTCTTATATGACCTCAGAACTAAGTCACCAGGGATGGGGCTGGACTGAGAGCCAAACTTTGTAGCATGATTGCATTTCACAAAGAGATTAAAAGGTTGGGGGTTACCTAGTTGTTATGACCCTAGAACTAAGGCACTAGGTGTAAGGCTGACCCACTCAGACTGAGGGACCAATCCTTGTAGCATGCTATATGGTTATACAATTACAGGGTGGGGATCTAAACTGTTTCTATGTTATGACCTAGGACTGAGATACCTGGGGTGAGTCTGGTCTCAGGGGCTGATTCTAGCATATATTAGCAAGATTAATTGGGTTTTTCTCTTCATTCCCAGCAGTGGTTTATGTTGTTATGGTGCGGGAATCTTAATCAACTCCATGTTATGACTAACTAACAATGTCTCCAGGGTGAGGCCTGATATAGAAGCTGATCATAGTAAGATAGTTGCATTCATTTATTATGAAATGCCCAACCAAAATATGTGTAATTTTAGGGTTGGAATCACCGAAATTTTCTAAGATATGATGCAGGGAAGAAGTGTCAATTCAGATGGAACGGGTCTTGACTCTATGGTCAATACACATTCACTGGCAGCATAGTTCTGCATTTGTCTCTTTATGCCAATTATGTATTTATGTGGTTATATATATGGAATATACATAATTTTAAAGTAGTAAGGCTGTACACACAAAACTTCTCTTTTTGACTAGGTGAGCTAAAAAGGATCACAATTAAAATATAGTAGTCTTTGTGTGAAATTTACAAAATAATAAAAATCTAACAGCAAAATAACTGTTCAAGACTTCATAAAGTAGACAATAAAATGTTACAAATAAACACTTTTAAAAGTATTGAATTGCTCCTCCATGTCCATATTCCCAACCAAAATACAAATATGAAATTGTAAACGAATTGTCTCCCTTCCCCCATATTCTAAATCATCATAACCAAAATAAACGGAATTCCTGATTGTTACATGTACCCAATTTAAGATAGATTTTGCTTCATTTAACTTAGCTTTGTTAAAAAAAAAACTACCCTAAGATCCAGTCACATATGTTGAGGTTATTGTGTAGAAACCCCCAGCAAACTATCGTAGAGTGTCCTAAACATTATGCACACTGATTTTGCTCAACTTTAAAATGAAATGATGTTTAAATAAGATTCATCTGAATAATATGTGGAAATGTATTTAAGCAAGTTTCTTGTTTAAACTAAAATGTTGATGGACAGATAGACAGACACTTCCCAAACCATTGATATCTCTCATCAAAACTGTGTGACAAGGGTTGATGGTTGGCTAGACGTTTATTCTGGTAATCTCAAGTGTTAGGATCCGTCTCTGTCGTTTGTATCTGTACCCTAGTGCAGTCTCTAAACGTCCCTAGCCCTTCTCGTCTCGCCGTCCCTTGCTTTTCTAACATCTTCTCTCGCCGTCCCTTGCTTTTCTAACATCTTCTCTAGCCGTCCCTTGCTTTTCTAACATCTTCTCTAGCCGTCCCTTGCTTTTCTAACATCTTCTCTAGCCGTCCCTTGCTCTTCTAACATCTTCTCTAGCCGTCCCTATAATTGCTCTTCTCTAGCATTATCCCCTTTCTAGGTTATATTTATTCTCGATGATAATCTATTGTTACGTGCATAGATGGTTAGTTGAGACTTGAAGTTCATACCTACAAATGTATGTAATCCTGGATTAATATTCCCGATCTACGTAATCAATTACACAACGTTATCCGAGCTATTCCCGATATACGTAATCAATTACACAACGTTGTAGCACTGACTGTCAAAGGTCCATAAGCCCCACATAGTATAGATCGTCAGTTGAGACTTTAAGATCATATCTATGTAATCCTGGATTCACTGAGCTATTCCCAATATATGTAATCAATTACACAACGTCATAACACTGACTGTGTCACAACTGACAGGTGTATCAAAAGCCTGGCACAATCATTATACAACATCTATTTATAGTCCAGCTCACATTTTCAAAATTACAAATCTCGAAATAGAATATCACCACTTCATTTTTACAAAATGCAATACAATGTACCCTTCTAAGGGGATGTTTCCTTCCGAATTTAATCAAAATTTATTCTTGAAATCTTGCCCAAAAGTTTTTGATTAGAGATACTGGCAGACAAATGTCATGCAGCAACATACTTGGTACATCGTTAATGGGAAAATGGTTTTATATTTAAGTCATTACATTGTACAACTGAATGCATTGGTACATCTTTATATAAAATTTCCTCAAAACCACACAAGATCTATGTTCTAACCCAACTGGGACCACAATATCTGACTCAACTAATTAGGGGCCTCCATTGAGTTGCCATGTTAACAGATTTTGAAATAAGTAATATGTCATATTACAGGGTGTAATTAGACAATACTTTAATTTTCATTCAACTATAAGGTTTTTATAAACCTAGAAACCGATTTTTAACAATTTATGAAAACTACACGATAGAATATGATAATCTAGCTGTACTATTTCTTAGGACCGCATGGGTCAAATCAACCTCATTCAATTAAGAAATGTTCTTCCTCAATAATGTTTTTGAAATGATTGCCCTCCCCCAATGAAGTTTTAGAGCAAATTTGGTTGAAATCTTCTCTGGCGTTTAGGAAGAGATACGTTTTAAAGCAAATTTAGCTAAGTTCCCCTTCAGGGCCTTGGCCTCAGGGGTCGAACCAACCTCATTTAATTAAGAAATAACTGCCCTCCCCTAGTGATGCTTCAGACTACATTTGGTTGAAATCCTCTCTGGCGTTAAGCAGGAGATGCGTTTTAAAGCAAATTTAGCTTAGTTCCCCTTCAGGGCCCTGCCCCCTGGCCTCAGGGGTCGAACCAACCTCATTTGTTTAAGAAATGATTGCCCTCCCCTAGTGATGCTACAGACTAAATTTGGTTGAAATCCTCTCTGGCGTTAAGTAGGAGATGCATTTTAAAGCAAATTTAGCTAAGTTCCCTTTCAGGGCCCCGCTCCCCTGGATCAAACCAACTTCATTTATTTAAGAAATGATTGCCCCCCCC